CTCTTTTAGAAAACAATACTGCCCTCTACTGGTCCTCGTGATTATTGTTATGATTAGTATTATACGAACTGGCAAAATTATAATGAGAATCGCTTTTATTGGGGAAGCACATTCACAGAAATGTATGAGGATTTTTTTCCAGGTGGTAGTGCTACATATTTCTTTTGATTACAAAAAAAAGTACACATACATATGACGATTTTGGGGGAAATTAATACTTTTTAGCAAACAGACAAGTATGGGACCTTGGGTCAGACAGCATCCAGCCCCGGTGGATCAGCCGTCGGTAAATTCTAGCCTTACAGGCCATGAGATTCAAACCCATAACATGGGCACATACCCGTAAAACGCTGAACCACATACTGCCCTTGAATGTGACAAAACACAGCTCAGGAAAAGAGACTGTCCCAGTAATGTCTAGTTTTGGTTTTTAATTTCCCTTTGCCTTCCACCATAGACATGTGATTGAAAATGGTGCCATTACGATTTGCACAGGGAAGGCTGCAGGAAATCCTTATTCACAGGGTAATTTAATTATAAAGGTGTTAAGATCAAGATTATTGTACTAACATTTTTTATTATTAATAAAAATATATGATTTGAATGAATAATGAGTAATAAAATAAGCCGCAGTTGTGTAACTGTTTTTGTCCCGCTGAGCTGTTAAAATGTGCTGTCTACTCTTGAAAGATTGCCCCGCTGTTATAAAGCGGTGACATTTAAAACAAGGCGTTTAGGTTTCCGACGTATGTGCTGGATATGAACAGAAACCTACGGAAATTCTATTTTCGTTCACCCGGATGAAAGCGCTGTCTTAACGTTACTGAAAGGACAAACGCCCACTGGGCCGTCCCGTGCGGTGCGGTGTTACCGTAATGCCAGTTACTGAATTACTGACAGTAAGAAGTGTTACTGTCTGCGAAGGTTTTGTCTGCCCACTGATCCGGGCTTCAGCTCGCAAAGACCACGCCAAATTTCTGCCATCGTAATGTACTTACACGCATTTAGGAATGAAGGTTTTGTGATTTTCTGAAAGGACTGTGTGCCACTCCAGGTAAGAGCGTCGGAGGATGTAGAATATCTAGCAAGATCGTTTTTATTGCTTATTAATTTTAGTGTATTATATGCGTTCATTTTATTTGGCGTTTTCGCGACATTATTTTTCTAATGTTCTTCTGACCTAAAGCTATGTGTATGAAAGTATGATCAGACCCTACAGGATGTGTGCACTTTTAAAGCCGAAGACTGGTTAACATCAACGTTTTGAAGCAACTAATCCAACTTTGCTTTTCATGTAGGTCAATCAGGAGTCATTTTAGCGACACGACACAGCTAGAGGGGTGAACGAAAGAGAGACGGAGAGAAGGAACGGGAGACAGAGAGGGCAATGGAGCGGTATAAAGCAAGAGATTCTTTTGAGGATTTATTCCTTGTTGCCGCCCCAGATGAAAGGACCTGCAGTATTAAAGTAAAGGTCAAATCACAGGAAGCATAAAGCAAGACGAAGGTGTTTTTTCACGCGTGGCAAGGTAACATCATCCCTAACAGTCTGATGTCACGCGTGTCCCAGCTTGGTGCTTTGTCGATGTACTGTGACTAATCCATGAGTATTCCGATATCCTCACTCCTTAGCCTAATTAAAACAGGATTAGCCGGCATGGAGTCCGCAGCCACTTCGACTTGCACTGCCTTCGCTGCTTCACCCCCCACTTTTCCCAGGATAATCAGGCCTCAAGAAATTGATCATCCAGGAGGCTCCTTCTTGGACCGCTGCCCAAAAGAAATCATAGTAGGTCACTCCGACCACACGGTAGGGCGCTGTGCCGAGCCCTGACCCCCCCCCCCCCTCCCTACTGCCCTCTCCCCCATGACTGACACCGCTGTTCCTTACATCTACTCTGGGCTCGCTCCATCTAGCCTGTCGGCCCAGACCCTGTTACTGAGAAACAATTAAACTCCCCCTATCCCTTGCAGATGTGCATCAAGGAGACACAGTTGTGGTCTAAGCAAACTCTGTATTAAAAGATTATTACACAGGAATTTGTTTAACCCTCTGCTTGAAGGTCACAACACTCAACCTTTTTTGGCATAACATGATTGAAAAAAAAAGCAGACCTGAATGTGCCACATAGCCAGCGCATCCGTCTTCAGGCTGTCCTGAGCCTTATATAATATAGAAATATGTTTTTAACGGTACATAGTGAAATGGGTTATTGATAAAAACGTACTTGCTCTTGTCTTGCTGCAGAAAAAAAGGAGTGCTCGTGGGACTATGGTTGGACCACATCTATAAGTGCTGAATGTCAAATACATGGGCGTCGCCGCCATTAAATCTGAGGGGGACGTGTCCCCCTCACATTTCATAATTATTCGTTTGGATCCCCACATTTTACATAAAATATTAATTTTATCTCAATGGAAATTGAAATTTATTTAGGTAAAGATCCAACATAACAAAAAAACCAATATGTCTATATCTTGGTATAAGGCTGTTCATGCGATTTGAGACCACACAGATCCTTAATATTACTGATTTATTCATTGTAGATATTGGTTAGATATTAATTAGTTACATGACTTAAAATGGATCATTTAGCCACTGGACATCATAAAAACCAACTAGTGATACATATTTGGAACTGTATCATAAAACCTAGTGAAATGTAACAATTTCCTTTTAAGCGTGAATAACAGAGTGCAAAATTGCCATTTCTTCTATGTTTCGGGAAAAAAACTTAAGCTTAAAAAATGTGTAGCCCGGAAAAAAATCAACATTGAATTTGTTCTGAAATCAGCGTCATACATTACATGACAAAACGAAAAAATACAGCTGGTACAACCGTATGTGGTTATCGGTACAATATTGGGTTGGACTGTCAGAACTCCTTCCTTTTGAATGGGTGGATGGAGCAATACCGGATTCCGTGTTATCTGTATTAAGCAGGCACGTGCAGAGGGGGGGGGGGGCGGAGGGGGCTTGAGCACCCGCCCCTTTCCTCCAGGATGCCTCAAGTGCCCTTTTCTTGGGTTCTTTTTTGTTGTTGTTGTTGTTGTTTTTTTAATGTGTATGTGCGTATGGAGTAGGTGGGTTGTTGTCTTTGCCCCTCAACAATAAAATGTAACTATTAATCTCAATTTTGCTAAATAAAAGGATCTGGCTTGCATCAGTCACATGACTTCCATTAACCAATGCTCGCCCTTGAGGGCAGAGCGCGCTCGTTACGAGCCGGGTACGAGCTCGCAAAGTGCACGCGCATTTTCTGCAGGCTGGGTGGTGCGGAGCTGGAGGAGAAGCAGGCAAATTAATTGGAAGGTGCAGACTGCAACAAAACAGTAAATAGGGTGTACAGCGCACACTATAGTCTATAACAACAAATCAATTGAAATAAATGAGCGTGCTGTTTGTGCAACAGCGCGACAAACATTACCTGTCCTTTTATGAACTGCACAAGTAGTGGTGGTCATTAACTGCTAGCTAACTCAGTAACTGGGTAAGGGTGTTACAAGGCGGTCTGTAGCTCTGTCCACCGTTTTAGGGAACATGTTATGCTTTAAAGTAAGTTACAGGACTTTTCCCTTCTTTTCTGGAGGGCTTTTATTTCACTAAAAACTATCTAATATGGATATATCCACATAATTCCATATTAGATTCGTCATGAATGTGAGTTGTTGTTATTCAGCCTGTTCTATCTTTTTTAACTTTGAGCACCCGCCCCTTTAAACGTCTCTGCACGGCCCTGGTATTAAGGTCTACCATCTGTAGTCAATTTCCTCCTGAATTCAATAAACATGTCGTTGGAAAAACTGGCGCCTCTAAATTGTTCGTAGTCTGCGGGTTTGTGTATGTACACTGAGACAGACTGGTATCCCCCCAACCCCTTGTCCAGGCCCGTTATGGCATATCGGGAGACGGCAGAATTCCTGACGGGCCGCTTCGTTGTTGCGCCGGTCAGAAACAAATGAATTTCACAAGTTAACTTTTGAGTCGGTCGGAAACAAAATCATTTTACAATTTTAAATTTCTACAACAACGCTTCAAAATGTTAAACAGCGAGGTTTCCCACGCACGCACACACACACACACACACACAATAGACCACGTTTGCATGATCGCAACTAATCGCTTGCTATTGCTAATCACTGGAGGTTTCAAACGATGGATGTTAGAAAGAGACTAGGCGGGGCTTAAAAAAATCAGACTACTTGAACAGTTCACTCTTTTTACTTTAACAGTTTAATTATTTATTCTTGAAATTTCAGTTATAAAATTAACTTCCCGGGCTGAAAATGAGTCCCCCTCCGTGCTTGCCAGTGCCTCATACCTCTTGGCATAGGTGTCTGACCCTATATCCAAAAATTCATCCCGACTCGGGTATCGGTAGCTAGATTCCATCTACCGGGGGGGCGGAAGCAAACTTCGAGGGGGGTTCAGACTCGTCATTTTAGTAACCCGCTGCATGTCTGATCGGTAACAAACTAATTTGTTAGCGCACACAGGGAGAGTGTCAAACCCGTAATTATTCTAGGCTACTTGGCTACCTCCCTGCTGTGTAAGGTAAGTGCTATGGGAAATCAGTGGTGAACTTGGTCTAGGAAGAGCTTCTTTCAGTAACTAACCTGTAATTTAATATGACATTGGTGTTACTATAGGATGCCATCATGGGGTGGAAATTGGGTGTGTTGGGTGAGCACCAACGTGTAAATGAGGGGGGGGGAGGGTTAGCGACGGTAATAATTGTCGACCTGATCGTTGGCGAAGGTAAAAATTATTCATTTAACAATCTCTTTTGGGTGGGCAGACGTTTGGGAAGCCACGGCCTTGTAACATAATGTAGGCTATAACAATTATACCCGGGAAGTTCATGTCGCCCAGGGTGTGACCTTAACTGGCTGAGACAGACTCCATGCTTACCAGCGAAGATGGATGGATGAAAGTCGGCCGTGAATATACATTTTATACAGGCCTATTCTGGTTTTCTTATTTTTTCTTTATTGCTTTTAATTCCTCTGGCACCTTTTTTTGTAAAGCCGTTTATAAACCCAAATAGCTGCCAGTGTTATGTGTAAAAGAAACGCGCGAATGCCGGTAAACGGCCCCCAAAGGCTTGCTGATTCAGCCACAAGGCGTGTGAGACGTGACTCTGCGGTGCCCCCCAGTCTCTTAAATGGACCACCCCCCTACCCCGCCGACCACGTGGTTTCCGGTGTTTGTGTACGACGTGAATTTGGTGTATGGCAGTGCGACAATCGGGGCTGTGCTGTATTCGGACGCCTGGGCCACGTAGGGGAGTGATCGTAACAGGGCGATCATGCATGAACAAGAAATGACGGCGCAGAAAAAGGGGCGAGTGACAGGTAACTGAACACTTTCGCAATGTTTCGTTTTTACGGGTAGTATGCTTTAAGTTAGGAGCCGTGTTTTGGTTTGCGTGCGAGTTAAGTTATTCGAAACTGCCCGTTACACAGCTACCGTCCCAAAGCACTACTGCACTTTAAATATGCTAAATTTAAAGTAGCCTTTGTTTAAGGTTTCTTTTCGAAGTTAATCCAGTTATTTTTTTTACTGTACAAAGATCTTTATAGTTTATTTTAAAAGACATGCATTTATTCAGTTTATTTGTATTTTGAAGTACATCGAGCAGTTTGGAATACGAGCGCACTTAAACTAGCATAATGTGATTACATTAGAAATGTGGAGGAGCATTCATTTTTAAGTTAACAATAGCATAAAGTTACGCTTTTTTGCTCCCAGCACAGTGTAATATTTCTGTCTTCTCCCTGACAACTTTTGACTACAATTCGTAGGTTCATGCAGATTTGCCAATCACGGTTCTGATGCAGGTAACTAAATGGGTTTTTGGAGGGAAACGGATGCATGCTTAGTGAAATTCAATTAGGGGAGTGCAAGAAACTTGTGATTCACTAAACCCAGCCCCACAGCTGATTTTACTCCATGTTCTAACTTCCGTGCACGGCATGTGCATTCCTGTATGGCTCGTGACCCCAGTAAATAACAAAAGGTCAACTACTTTTAGTCTGAGCCGGAGCTGGATATAGCGATATGGGTATAGCTGCAGCCCCCTTCTCTGGCTCTGGAAAAGGAGGCCCAGAGCTGAACAATGCCCCCCCCTGTGTTACAGTGCACCAGGAATCTGACGGTGGCATCGGTGTGTGTGGCTGGCTGCTGGTGCTGTTCTCCATCCTGTTAACCTTGCTGACCCTGCCTCTCTCCATATGGATGTGCATCAAGGTACAAGGAACAATACCCTCCCCCCCCCAAAAAAAAGTAAAAAAAATAGTCACAGGTTTAGTTTTCGGCATATATCCTGCCTCCAGTCCCACAATTCCAGGTCCGCTCATTTTTATATCATGCAAATGTGTCTGAAATTGCAGTCACAGTTTGTGAGGAGGGCTGTTTTATTGGTCCTGAGTGACTTACCAGTCACATCTCACACCATGTAGCTGGAGTAGTAAACAGCATCAAGCACCAGCGGGGTATTAAACAAAGCAGGATTTTCCAGTTAGCTAGATAACTTAAGCCAAACGTGGAAACTGTCCAGTAGGAGGAGAGGTAAGTGACATTCCTATTGGACAATCCTTGCATTTGGCTCCAGTCAAACCCCCCAAAAAATCCTGCATAGGGTTTTACGTTAGGATGGGAAACATCTTTTAAAATTGCCTGTGCTCCTTTTTTTATATAGTCTTACTATATAGTTTTTCTTGGCCACCTATCAGCCACGCGTCATAGACAGAATTCGGCACAAGACTGGCCTGGTGCCCGCAGAGTCTTTTCCTTGGGTCTCATTCCAATTCCTGCCGCATGCCCAGCGGCTCTCACAGCCCCGATTCCCACAGATCCTGAGTGCATGCTGTTTACAAACGGCGCAAGAGCACTTCTCACTGGACAAAAAAAAAATGTCATCGTAACAGGAAGGAATCTGTTGAAATCTGCTTTAAATCTGATGCATTATGAGGAAGCTAAGGCAAGCGTATGTTTGGTTTCAGCATTGTTTAGGATCAAATCAGCCCGAGCTCTCCGCACCCCTAAATGCACACGGTTCTCCAACAATATTGGTAGGGTTAGGGGTTGGGCAATATGGACCAAAAACCATATCTCGATATAGGCAGAATAGCGATAAAGAAAATATTGGAATTTTCTGTGAAGTGGGCTAAATGTTTCATTCTAAGGTAAAGCCACATGTAAGATATCACAAACATTTATTAAAACAGTGCGGTCAAAACAAAATGCAAAAACTGGGCTTCCTTTCCTGTTTGCAAATATACAACTGTAACTATTCAACGCAGACAATATTATTGCAAACGGAAGTCTCAGAATCAAAACAAAAATTAATTATGCTGATATTAGCAGCCTCAGCCTAAAACCATTTCATTCCACTATGTCTACCAACAGTATTTTTAAAAAATCAGCATAATTTGAAAATGACATTGCTTTTGAAACAGAAGGTGAATGTCTATGAACAGAAAACTAAAATCCAAATCTAAAACCTATTTGGGAAATGGCTCTAAAAGCAGAAGCCTGCCAACCACTGAAATGCACTTACTAGCTAGAAGGACATTAATTTTAAGTTCCTATATTTTTAACCGTTGAACCATTTGCCAGTGTTTTAAAATTAAATGAATCAGGTTGCAGTGATTCCTCACCTCTCCCCTCTGTCAGCTTCCCTGTGAGATGCCACTAACTGGATGGTTTGATTTTAACTGTAAATTCTGGTATTCTGTGTGATGTCCCAACCAAACCGCTCGCATTGTTTACGACCAGGAAGGAATACCCTAATTTTAACGCGCGATAAAAGTACAGATGATCCCCTACTTACGAACTTTCAGAAATACGAACAAAGAGGACTGTAAGTTCAAATTGTGTTCGTTGGGATCCCATTTCCTATCCGCAACATCAATTTTTTTTTCTGCGCGTCAATTCCGCCTAGTACGACTTCTGGCCACTACTCCCACTGCGCAGCAGCGTAGCGTGTGAACTCCCAGCATCCTAGTTCTTGGTACTTCCGTATACCCTTAAAATGATGTTAAATAACGACTTATGAACATTTCAAGTTACGAACGACCATTCGGAATGTATCTCGTTCTTAAGTAGAGGAGTGTCTGTATATCGATATATTACAATAGTATTGTCATCCCATAACTTGTTTTGAAAATGTATCGATATACCACAAAAATGTAATGCACCACCCAGCCCCTGTAGGGATCCATTCAATGAGTATAAAGCAACATAAATCAGTATTAGGCAGAGATCGAATTTATCGACGGCAAAAGCCGCCGTGCCTTAGCAATTTGCCGTGCTGCCCTGAATATTTACAAGTTCTTGCCGGCAGATACTTGCAGTGCCCTCTTCCTCAGTTGCCTTTGTGCCCTATTGTGTATGTTTAGATCATAATAAACTTATGAAATCAAGAACAAGTTCTTCCGTTTTTTACTTCTCTGTCGCCATGTCCATGATGTCTGGGTTGATAAGCGCATCCCATAATTTTACGTTAGCCACGCCTCCATGGTTAAATTATTCAGAGCGGCTATTCTAGCCAATGCTTACCTCCCTCCGAAACTAATAGCAACATGTTCATAGAATAGGGAGGGTGAGAAGGTTTAGAAGTTCTTTTGAAAATAACCACATTTTTTAGGCAATTTCGCTGGTTATGCATGTCTTTCCCAATCATACCGCATCTATTGTTATGGAAATTATCTGTCATTACTTGACGTTGTAATAATTTATAATAGACTGTAATAATTCATAGAAGATTGAAATAATTGATACCAGATGTGCATTGAATTGAAGTGAAAACGGAGAAGGAGTTAGAGCATAAACTGTACTGTCCTGCAGTCCTTCGTAGTGGCTCGCGGAAGTGTTGCGGGACAGTTCGTAGTGGCTCGCGGCACTGGGCGGGACAGTTCATAGTGGCTCGCGGCACTGGGCGGTACAGTTAGCGAGTGGCTCGGGACAGTGTTTGAGTGGCTCGACAGTCGGTATAGTTAGTTATAAAAAGTTAGTTGGCTTGAATATGGTCACTCATGCATTATTTTGAAGTTCTGTTAGTCATGTTAGTGTTCAATGTCTCAGTAAAAAAAAATGTTCATTAAATTAAAGTTTTTATCACTGACAATAGCTGGTTCTGTTTTTTTTCATAAAACATTTCGTCATTACTGAGTAGGTGAATGAAGGCAACAGCATCTTTTTTTCAATAGCTAGTCTAACACTATTTCACAGGGTGCTAATGCATTTATTGCCCTTGAAAATGTCAGAATGCTAAATATTTCATGTGTCCGGCTATATACCTTTTTGCCTCAGTGCCCTGGCCAGTAATTCTTGATTGCCTTGGTGCCCTCCGAACCTACGGGAAAATGCCTTAGTGCCCTCCTATGTTTGAGGGGATAAAAGGCAAACATTGCTGTGCCCCCCGAACAAAGTAATTCTACCCCTGATTAGGTACTATAATTATTACATGCAGACGCAACTGCTCCCAGCTGGCCATATCCAAATCTATGCCTATGAGCTGAGGTCACACTCACAGGAGAAGATTCTTAGGAAATTTTGAAAAAATTAGCAAAAGTACTCATAATCTCACTGAAAAGCAGTGACAGGTTAAGAAGATACCCTTCACGGTTTCTGCGTTTGACCTGAAACGTTGCATAGAAATTCTCCCTCAAGCATTAGCTACCACGCAAAATCTCACTTACAGGGTTATTGAATAAACAGTTTATTCTGCTGGATGCTTGGCTCCTTACAGACTTGCTTTACACCAGGCAACAAAAACAGTAAAGTGAGAGTGGGCAGAGTGGAGTGTTGTGCTCTTTTGTGGGGGGGGGGCTGGCGAGACTGACTGGCGGTTTCCTTGCGTTCCGCAGATCGTGAAGGAGTACGAACGTGCCATCATCTTCCGTCTGGGCCGGATCATCCGTGGTGGTGCCAAAGGACCAGGTATGAGCGATGGTCCCCCCCCCCCGCCGTTTACTCAGTGGAAAGTACAAGGTGGTTAGGAGCCACAGACTTTCAAATTGAATTTATCTTTCTCGCCCACAGTTTCAGGTGGGTGGGCAGACGGGTTTGCTTGTTTTCTATGGTTGTTTAGATCTTCTGACCAATGCTGAGGGGCAGGGAAAGTAAAGCTCATGCATGTTGAGGTGCTTGTTTGCAGCTGCAACTCTGCAGTCTTAGTTTGCAAGAAACTGGGCTGTTGCTGCTAGTAAAGTAAGCTGTTCCCAGACCAGAGCTTATATATATAAAATCTGTACTTTGCAGGATGTTTTCATTAAGGTCAACCCAGAGGCAGTTCCAGAGTTCTTAAATAAAACCAGTGTAGTAAATCACTTCATTTAGAATTTTCTGATTTGTAGACGATCTCATTAATGCTGCCTCTGTATTTTGAGGTTCTACCTTCTCAGGATTTATTTATAGTTTGTGTTTTTAAATAATTATAAACTTTAATATGTGACTTAGGCTTTACAATGACATAGTGCAAACTCAGATGAAAAGGACAACCTATTGAGGTATTACATTTCTGGCAGCATGATGATTCACTGGTTGGCGTTTCGGTCTTTACCCCTGGTTTTTGCCCGTTTTCTCTCTACACAGCATAGCAGTGGTGGGTAATGCAGCACCACTGGACTTTTCGTTACCATTCAGCAAAATCAGCAACACTGATGCTTTGGCAAAGAGACAGACTAAGCGCACATATCAGGCTTCGTCTTGGTAGCATTGTGAACGTGGAATGATAGACAGGTTTGTTTAATTTAATGACATTTATTTAAGCGATATTTCTGTTTTTGAGAAAGCAGGGACAGCCGATACTTGGCGGTTAAGGCTTTAATCTGAAGGAGCAAACAATGAAATTCCTCTGCTGACTCTGAGATTCGAACCAGTAACATTTGGATGACAGGCGTGGCGTCTTGGCCCACTGAGCCTGGATTGTAATACTTACAGTCATTCGTCAACTTGCATCCTATCGAGTAACGTCCAATCGTTCTTGCGTCCTGAAGTCTCTTAAGAGCCTTAACATAAAATTTGAGAGATGTCTGATACAGATGTAGCAAGAACCAAAACAAACAGATTGTACTGCCACTAGAATGCTGTAGTTAAATGTGTGCAATGTTGTATCTTATGTTGCACAATACATTTGACCTCTCCTATAGTGATTGAGAGATGTCCAAATCGACTTGGGTCCTCACTTCTGAGACACAATGCCAACGCAAGTCGATGAATACCCATATAGTGTTTTATGCTAGGGTATGCTTGTTACTTTCTTCTTAGCGAATGCCATTTTTTGATTAAAACAAACAGATTTTTGACCATGCAAGTAGCATGGAATTACAATGATACATTTGTTGGCTTCTGATAAGGGACCGATTCTACTGCAGCAAATGACACTAATGACCTTTGAATGTGTTTTACTGCTGCATCTGGGTGGATTTTTATACACCATACACGAGCCAGAGGAAGCCGTTTGGACCCCGTAAATACGGAGAAGGCTTCTGTTTCATCCTCGTATTTCCTGAGATGTCCACAGACTTCTCGTCTTCTACTTTTACTCCGGTGGTGTTTTTAGGCAGGGCATGTGTGACCGGAAGTTTTGGTTTAAGTGACTTTTTCCTTGGCCAGCTAACATCAGCAGAATGGATTCTGCCTTGTCTGCAGTTTGTGTGTGCAGACTCATTTTTCACAGGCAAGCCCAGATACGCTGCTGTGGCGTCATTTACCGGCGGTGCCCAAATTATTTATTTGTTTGTTTTTCTGTTTATGAAAATGAAGCTCTTGGAAAGATTACTATGAAATGTTGGTCTACTTTATTAATTTCTTCTGGGAGCTGGGGAGTTGCAGGATACGAAAGTATATTCTCACATGCCAAATGTTCTCATAATGATATTTGGGTTATGTGGTGTCAGGATGGCTCAGAAATAATCGCCTTCACTCTCTCCATTCTGTGATGGGTTTGCATCCCACCATTGACTCAAACACATTGCAGTAGTTACCAAGTCTGAAGAAACGTGAAGGTTCATATTCCTGTGTGCTTGTGTGCATTTCCGCAGGTCTGTTCTTCATCCTGCCCTGCACTGACAGTTTCATCAATGTGGATATGCGAACCATCACTTTTGATATCCCCCCCCAGGAGGTACGGCTACGGGCAGCAGTTTCCCATCAGCCCCTGGGGCCTCTATCTGACACTGGGAATCCACCCCCCCGCCACAGACACACTCAGTCACAGTTCACGGACAGCTGGCAGCTGTAAAGTGGCATGGAGTGATGCGCTTACAGACATGCCATCCGCGACTGCAGTGGGGGGTTGGGGGTGTGGGGGGGTATCCATTCTGTCACGGTAGTTCCTTTTTCCTGGGTGATGACAGCGAGGCTCTCAGACGTCTTCATCAAACACTGAACATCGCTGTGTGATTTTTCAGCTTCATGACTTATCAAAGTGATGAATAACCAAACTGAAATAACATTTCAATTAATTTTCACCGTGGGTGTCCAACCCTGGTCCTTCAGAGACACTGGCCATGTGGATTTTCAGTCCAATTCATATCAGCCTTTATCAAATTTCAGTTATTTAATAAAATACGTTAGATTGGATTTGAATGGTGAATCACCTCACCTGGATCTCTAGGTGCCAATAATTAAAATGACTCTGGAGACTTAGTCCTGGGCGTGGTGAACTCGCCGTTATGTGTTGGCCATTTATAATTGCAATATTTATGCATTAGAAAGTACGTTGATTAGCCATTTTGATCAATGCATATTTCGTTTTCATGCTGAATCTGACCTTTTCACTGCAGAGATCCAGACTGAAATAGAAGCCACTAGGAAATTGGCCGAGTTCTTTGCATCTGGACGTTTTGCTGAAAATGCTGAACCACTGCAGTCCAAGTGATCCTCCTTGGACTTGTTGCATTGGCTTTTGATTTGGCAGGCCTCGTCCCTTTCTTCAATTGAACAGTTGGCCACTGATTAATACTGTTGAGGCTTCAGATAGCTGCTCCAGAGTTCACCGCAATGGCCGCGTGTCGCTCCTGATGTGACCTTTTGACCTCCGTTCCATTGCCTGCTAAGCATGTCCACCCTGTGCCCCCCCTCCAACCACCAGGTGTTGACGAAGGACTCGGTGACGGTGAGCGTAGACGGGGTGGTGTACTACCGGGTGCAGAACGCCACCCTTGCTGTCGCCAACATCACCAACGCGGATGCCGCCACCCGCTTGCTGGCTCAGACCACCCTGCGCAACGTCCTGGGCACCAAGAACCTGGCAGAGATCCTGTCTGACCGGGAGGAGATTGCTCACAGCATGCAGGTACGACATAAGAGGCTGTGTGAGATTCAGGACCTCCTAGAGACTTTAGCTGTAGATAGTTATGGCTGATTTCCAAGCAGTTTTGTTCCTTGTAACTATCAGAATGACTTCCAAAATGTATCTCTGTGAAATTCTCTGAGGCTGCAAAGAACTGCTTGGTTATAGGACCAGTACTGGTACTGTTAAGTGAGTGAGGGATGTAGGGAACACATGGGACACACTAGCCCCCTTCTCTGCCCTGCCGTAGTCCACTTTGGATGAAGCCACGGATGACTGGGGCATCAAGGTAGAGCGAGTGGAGATCAAAGATGTCAAGCTGCCCCTGCAGCTCCAGAGGGCCATGGCAGCCGAGGCGGAGGCAACGCGGGAGGCACGGGCCAAGGTGGGCTCCCATCCTAGAAGCACGATGACAGACTGTGTGACGTGATTTAGTCATGTGACGACTCTGCCTTACTTGCCCTCTTTATACCACATGTCGATACTCACAGTGCCGGGATTTTTGTCACATTGCTTTACTGAGATCTTCTGTTTGATCTTAAATTAGTTCCCCTGGTACTTATAGACCTAAATCAAGTCAACTTCAGTTCATATTACAGGGCTCCAGACTATGACCATTTAGTCGCTTTTTGCAACTATTTTTGGAGACAACGTAACTAAACTTTATAACTAGGCGCGCCAGTGTGACTTGCAAATATGCATTTGTTTGTTTATTTTTAAAAAATGATTGTCGTATGTCGCATGAAACACCCAGAGAGGGCGAGAATTGGTGTATGAGCAAGATAAGGCGCTTTCCCATCGAGGAAACTTTTTTTCCAGAACCGCAGGCACTCAGTCCGATTGTAGTCCCTCGTAGGCGCTTCTGGGTTGGGGCTGTCTTGCTGAAGCACCTGTGCTACCTTGGAAGTTGAAGAGAGAGAAGCAGCTGGGCAAAAATTGGGCAGATGGAATTGTTTTGTTTTAGTACCTCAGTTACATTTAATGCATTGCCGAATACGTTTTTGCTTGTATCTCCATATTTCTTCATCACAAAATTTGATCAATAACCAATATATTTTGGTCTAATATTACTGGTGCTCACAGAATAACATTTCATAGTTTTTATTCTGTGGAAAATTAAAGATCGATCTCCTGGCCAGATATAATAATGTATTTTAAGCATGTCATCAGTTGCATAAATAAAAAATAAATATATGGCTGTATCCCATTTTGGTCGCGATCCATTGCCCCAGTAATTAACAAATTAATCTAACAAAATGACTTATTCATCCTCCATTGTTTTGGGATGGCGGTGTATCTTCCAATAAAGTTACATGTGAAGCTTAAGAAGAGCTTTCTGCAGCTCCAGCCCCCACGCTTGTTTGCCGTAAAGGTACCGGTTCCTGGTGTACGGTGAAAAAGCGACAGGTGAAAGTGGCCGGGAGCTACAAAAGTTGATATTGCCTAGAACTGGATTCTTGAATTTCAGTGGGAAAGTACCTCGTGAAACATTCGTAAAGCACAAAAGTAGCATAATTGTGGGCAGTGGTGGCCTAATGGTTGTAAATTTGTTTTTGTTTTAAAGAAGCACCATTTAACTTAATGACTTTTCTTCTCGTAAGCACTACTTCACTCTGTGACTTTTTCCTTTTAAAATAGAACATCATATGATTATTTCTGTAAATTGTATATTTATTAGGCTACCAAAGCATTTATCAGAAATAACGTTACGATGGGAAAAAATAAGCCAACAAAAGTATATCTTGCATTGCATGTCGATTTAAGTGGTGTGCCAAAATTTTGTGCAGGTGCTCCTAAATTTTTCAATACGGAGCCCCAGTGCAACTACATTGGTACCTCAGAACTCAAATTTAATCCGTTCAGACCTCCGGATCGAATCCTAAAAAGTTGGAGTTGTGATCGAATCTTCCCCATAAGAAATAATGGAAAACCAATTAATTGGTTCCCGGCTCCAAAAAATTACACCTAAATATGCTTTTTTGTTTTTAGCATTTAAACACAAAATGAACCGGATAAAACAAGAAGAGCATATACTGTACTCAACACATCTAAGCACATTTATCAAAACAGTAATTTGTAAAGTAAGAAAATAAATGTATCCAAGCAATGTGTCCTGCCCCGATCGTCCGATCCTTCCGTGTGCCACGTCCTCCCCATTAACCCCGTGTGGAATCCCCGTATGATCAGCTGTTTCTGGTTGTTGTCATTAGCCCTCTGTATTTCGTCCGCGTTTCAGTTTGTTTCCGGTCATTGTATTGTCCGTCTGCGTTTTGCCTGCCTTACCTGTAATTAAACCCCGTATTCCCCGATACCCTGACGACTGCACCTTTGTCTCCGTTCTGTCCCCGCTCAGCACAACAATATTATTATAATTAAAAGTATTAATGGTTTATTATTAATATTAAATAAAGATTTCTTATTCATTATTTTTTCATTGTATTTTATTATATAATAATTCCTGTTACTGTCTATCATTGTCTAAATGTATTTTTACTGTCTAAATATATGTATTCAGTTAGTGTAAACATGCACGGTGCTATTACAGTGAATGCGAGGCTGAGACTGAAGCTTTAATCTTTGTTTCCGCTGAGAAACGTGCTGCGTGACTCATTTCCCCGCGCGTACAAGTTATCTTAGGTCGGCGTTCACGGTTTGACTTCTGAGATTCAGATTGAGCTCTAGGTAATTTTTTTTCGAACTGGTTGGTTCGACTTAAGAAATTTGAGTTCTAATGAGTTCCAGAACTGAGGTACCGCTGTAGTTGAAAAAGTTAGTCTGGAGCACTGTGTCACTGATTCCACATCAGGCATTTGTCTGGTTTTATGTGTCAGGCAGTGAGAGGTTGCATATGGTTCATGCAGGAAGTGCCATCGTTAGAAGCTTTGTACTGTTACGGTAGTTCTGAATTCCCAAGAAACACCTCACTGCATGTCCACTTCCTCTTCTGAAAAGTACCACAAAATTTGAGATGCATCTAAACCAATGCTCAATGCAACATATGAAAGGCAAAATTAATATATTACTTGGGGATGGAGACTAACTCGCATCTCCTGTCATTCGCGTATCTTGCCCCTCCTCCCGTCCCTCCCCATGTCTTTGCCCGTGTATCCCTTCCCGCTACGCTCTGCAGGTGATCGCGGCGGAGGGGGAGATGAACGCCTCCCGGGCTCTGAAGGAGGCCTCCCTGGTCATCGCGGAGTCGCCCTCGGCGCTACAGCTACGTTACCTGCAGACGCTAAACACCATCGCCGCCGAAAAGAACTCCACCATCATCTTCCCCCTGCCCCTCGAACTGATGCAGAGTTTCATGAAGCGCTAAGTGGTCGGTCCTTATGGTGTCAGCCATTACAAATGCAGGCTGGTATGTCTGAAGATGTGCATCCAGCTGTTCTGGTTGCTTAGGGCTTGTGGAGTTTCGGGAAATTGTATCATTATATTTCTGTGCACTGATGCATGTCTTTTAGTGTTTATGGAGTGGTATACTGCACGGCCATATCTTATATAGGTTGACTTTGCTTTTTTGTGTAGATATCCATTGCATTATTTTTAAATTCACTTTTATCCAAGTTTTTTTTTGTAATACACTTTTATAACTGAGCCACCTTCAATAAAAATTTGAAGCAGATGTTTCATAATGCTTTTGAAATATTGTGAAGGAAAACAGTGGTGTTCAGAAGCAATAAATGATTTTTTTTAAATGGTTTAACTTTTAGGTAAGTAACCACTTGTTCATTGGAGGATAATTTCAGCATGGAAATGGCAACAGGATGGGTCTCTGGTCTGTCTTAAAAAAAACACGTGGTGAGCATCTTCTTTTTAAAGTTGACATACAGTGAACTGTCTGATCTCCTTGCAGTCCACAGTCTCGATCCAGCCAACTAACTTCTCCAGGGGCCCTAAGCTGACCTGGGTAGGGCTCCCCCCCCCCCTAAGTGGGCCGTTCTGTTTTTGGAGTAAAAATTAGCAGTCAGGTTGGGGGTGGGACCGCGATAGGTAAAATTCACTGATGGGGGGGGGAGGGGTTTATCGCACTGGTGGATCGATTGGCCAAATTCAAGATAAATTATATAATTATAGATAATAATATTTTAACCAAAATTGTTATTTAAATGCTTTAGAGTGAAGCTTTGGTCTATAACTTTTGTTATTAAAAAAAAAAAAAAGTTGAAATCAGGAAATCAGCATTGGGACCCCCGAGAGTCAGGGGCCTGGCGATTTTCGCCCTCCACCCTCCCTTGAGCTCCACCCCTGGTCTGGATGGATACACGTCAGTCACGTCCTTCGAGCCTCTAGACCTGTTGTATTCGGCCTTCCCTCTGAGAGTTATCTGTAAGTCACCTGTTGTCGTGGAGACATGAAGAGAGATCTTTCCGCTAATTATATTGTGTTAACTGTGTGTAGGATTTTTGCTTCTTTCGGAATGCCAGACCTATCCACGTGACCCGGGATGGGAAGATGAGGAGCTTTGGTAGTTTAGTACTTGGGTTGCCTTAATTGGGAGCAGTGAGCCGGAAGTCATGTCAGCTTTAGAGTAGGCAGAGGGGTCTTCTGGTGGATGCTGGGTACAGAAACCTGTGGTCTGGCTGTGGAGGCGCAAACAAACCAGCGACTTCTTCATAACGTTGGCAAATAACTCTGCATGAATGAAGGGGCTCATATCAGACTTTGTCCTACACTGGGATGTCCATGGGATACGTATCTTACACTCCACAGCCGGATCTGACCCGGGGATGACCCTTGTTGACATCTAATCCTCCCCCACCCTGGGAGAGGACCTGCATCAGCCAGTGAAACAGCCACCATATAAAGGGCTGCAAATTTAAAAACTGCTGGATTATCCAGACACTGGTGCCCTTCTGCGCCAGAGTGGGGGCCATGATTTGAACACAGGAAAAAGAATCACCAAAGAATGAGGACCACTCATGTAATAATCAAATACTCATATTCACCAATGGTGTACTTTGACAATTCTGTGGAGGTTACAGACGTGGGGCTTAAATAGATGAGTGGTTCTGCTTCTTTGTTAACAATGGATTCTGCTGGGGAGCAGTTTCTCCTTTTGTTATTCAAATTTGTTATTATTTTCAAAAGTAGTACAGCAGCCCCATAGCATATGCGAGTCAGGTGGAAAAAAAAAGATAAAAGCAATTCCTGGTTAATTCAAAAATCATTCGCTTTTCTAGGGTGTGGGTCCCACCATTCAACAGATAGTTTTTTCATATGCATATAAATGACATGTATGCACCAAGATCATGGAAATCATCAAGCATCAGGTCATCCGGCATCTCTGAAAGACAGATAGGGACTCTCCCTCTTATATACACTTATAACTAAAGTTTTTCCTGTCACCACCAGGTGGCGGCCTACTCCACAATCCTCCTTGGTTGTTTTGCTTAATTAATATTGGCTAGTTGCACACCAATCTGATATTCCTCGCATGTGAAGGTAATATTTCGAATTTCTCTTCGATTTTTTTCTCTTCGAATGTTAAGTTGATGCGACGCCTTTGCACAGAAACAAGGTTAAACATGCATTTCATATTATAAATCACAGATCACAATAAAACTGAATAATAGGGAGTGTGAAGGGAATCAGGATTTAGCGGGGACTTTTCAGAGGACCAAATGGACCACTAGAGGGGTTAGGATAAGGAACAGAATATAGTCGAGAATACGGATGACATGTAGGAGACGGTGTGCATTTAGGCTTGGAGATGATTCCTGTACCAGAGCAATGTGCTATTTTCCATCACTTGTACGTTGCTCTGGACAAAATGTATGCTAAATAAAAATCATGTAATTGTTAGACTAGACAGCGAGGTTGTTTTAGACCAGCTGCATAGAGTCACTGAACAGGCGTCTTCAGCACTGAATAGCGTCTTCAGCAGACCATAGAGGAACTGCTTCGGCGCCCCCTGCTGTACACTGTCGTTATGCTCATGGGTCTCTGGCTACAGCCACTGCTTACAGGAGGTGCGGGAGATGTTGCAGTAAGGATGTAGTCAAGCTTATGGAACCTTTCCCGGTGTCCCTCTGTTAACGAATTCCTTCATTCTGACACCACCCTTAAGGTGCTGTAGGCCACTTACATGAGGGGCACATATCTGGGGAGAGTTATTTAGTCATGTAATTTGGAATGTGTATCGGATTACTTTTCTGAAATAATCCAGCCAACGACATATATATAAATTTTAACATTTTTGACCCATGGTTTTTTAAATTCTTTTAAAACTGAAGTATGACAAGTGAAACGTTAAAACATTAATTTCCGTGTGTATCCATTAGGTGGCAGAAGCAATATAGGCAATGAAGTGGAATACTGCATCAATGCCAATGTTTTGCTCTGTGCGCTTCACCCAACATGCACTTTGCCTGCCAAATTTTGTTTTAATTGTATGGGGTTTGAAAATGCAGATAGGCCTGTTCCGTATTACTTTAATACCGCCCAGGCCTATAGTCAAAACTTTAAATCCGTTCTGAAAAAGTTTACCCATTTCACTGCATTACTTGAATGGCTTTGTTACAATAGATTTGCTGTATGCATGCACCGACCGGGACCATCTGCATTTACCGACATTTATGAATGCAAGCATCCGCGCATCGCAGCCCCGAAAGCACACCCGACAAGGCGAAAGTTGAACACCGCGGTTAAGTTAGCCTCATATTCAATATTCAGTTTTCTAGCTTTAATAACTTTTCATGGAAGTAAGGTGGGGCGTTTTTAATGACAGAATTGTGTTGTCCAGTACAACACCAATTGATATTTTCAATGTTCCAAATGAATTCGGACCACAAAGTTGGCAACGTTATGCATCAGGATTCTGATGTATTTATTCCACTTTTAATGGGTGTACATCTTGCCTCTAAAGTTAAGGTTATATTTTATACTAATTTAAAATAATACATTTTGTTTGCCTATTTAACAAATACATCTAAAGTTTTTATAACTTCAAACATTAACAAAAACTGTTAATGTCTTTTCTTTAAAATTTACAAGTCTATTTCTGTCTTTTTTTTCGTGATAAGTTAGTGAATGACTAAGTTAGTGTGTTATGGGGGCTTGGATACACATTGCGATCACCAACCTATAGTTAAACTCTAAAGCCCCTGACCACCGGTGTGTGTGTGTGTGTGTGTGTGTGTGTGTTAGAGTTGAATGTCTCGAGACCACTTTACGCTGTCTTGGTCTTGTCACAGTCTCGACGGTCTATGGTCTCGGTCTCACTGTCTTGGTCTTGCCGTCTCAGATCAACATAGTGGTCAGGAGATTTGGAGCGAAAAGTATCCATGACACACAACGTCACGTTCGATAATGCAACATTATTATTATTTCGCCTTTCGCGCCCTTGAAATGCAACCAAACAATGACATACGTGCATTTTGTTGTGATTCAGTTAAATGTGTAATCACATGCCACTGCAGACATCAAGATGTCAGAATCTTTTAAGTACTTGTCCTTATTCTTATTAATGCACAATTTGATGTGCAGTTTGTATTGGTATATAGTATTTGTAGTTTGCATTTGATTCATGTGACGTGTGTGCGTATCTTTATATTGTTTGATTACAGTATTTTACTTAAAATGGTGTTGTTTGACTAAATAAATGTGAACATTGACTTTTAAATAACATCTGCATATCATGTTGTGTTGACTTAACAGGCCTAATCCATTTCAGGGAAGTTGATATACAGTGTCATTTGGCTACTACAATGGGACATGATGCAATTTCAAGTTTATAATTGTGTATTTTCAATTTGATGTTACAATTTCATCTACAAATTAATTGAAATCAGTCACATATTTCCCATCCTTTAGACAGTTGTGTTGACAAAACCTCAGCTGCATACGGAATGGAAATAAATGCAGAGAAAACCAAGCTGATGACGAACAACCCTAAAGTTGGAAACTGTCAACAGCTTCAAATACCTTGGAGCAATGGTCACCATGAAGGATTTAAACCCGAAGGACTTGCCAGAATAGCACAAACAACAGCAGCATTGGCAAAGCTGAAACCTATCTGGAAAGATAGGAATATTACACACAGCTCAAAAGTCAGATTGATGCAATCTCTGGTTATCTCAATCTTCCTGTATGCCTGTGAGTCTTGGACTCTGACAGCCGAACTTGAAAGAAGAATACAATCTACAGAAATTAGGTGTTTCCAAAGACTCCTTGGCATTTCCTACAAAGATCACATCACAAATGAAACAGTGCGAGACAGAATCAGACAGTACATTGGCCCTTATGAAGATCTCATTACCACAGTGAAGAAGCGAAAACTGCAGTGGTACGGGCACGTCTCCAGATCATCAGGTCTTGCCAAAACAATTCTCCAAGGAACTGTTCAGGGGGGAAGAAGAAGAGGCAGACAGAGAAAGTGGTGGGAAGACAACATCAGAGAATGGACAGGAATGACGCTGAGCGATGCGCTGAGACAGACCGAAGACAGAAGAAAGTGGAGGAAGCTGGTTGTCAAAGCATCAGGAGGTGCCCCCACGGTCTCACAGACTACGGGATAGAAGAAGACAGTTGTTGGAGGTGTTAGCTGTTTTGTCAGATGACTTTGGGACCAGTCAGTACTCGTCATGTCAGTCCTCAACAGCACACAAAAGTTAAGGGAGTCTTGGTCTCGGTCTTGGTCTCGTCTCGACTTTGTCTTGGTCTTGACTCGGTCTGTCTTGGTCTTGGTCTTGGTCTTGTCTTGGTCTCGATACCCTCTGGTCTTGGTAGTGTCTTGGTCTTGGTTTAGGCGGTCTTGACTACAAGTCTAGTGTGTGTGCTTGTGCACATGAGCATGAACAAACATTTACTGAAAAAACGTATTTATTAAACTAACTAAGGCTTTATTATGTCAAAATTTAAAAAAAAAAAAAAAAAAAAAAACCGCCAGCGGATAAATGGGTCCTTATAGTCAATCTGTAGTCGCTGCATAGTGGATGACCGTTGACACTTGAATTTGGACTATGTTTCGTTAACTACCAAGCAGGCTGCATCTCAGTTACCATTGTCAACTTAACATGCTACTCCAGCAAGCATCTCAAATCAAGCTTGCAGATGATATAACCTGGGACTGTGGGGTCATCTTGTAGGCTGTCTGACATTTACTGAAGAATGTCTTTATTAAAATAACTAAGGTATTATTCTTTAAAGTTTTTAATGTGTATTTGATGCATGATGCTAAATGCAGCTTACTAGTTCATATAACATGTAATTAAATAACCATGTCCACCTTCCTTAAAATAACAAAAATATATCCTAAATTCTTATCCCCCTTGCTTGTGAGATAGGGAAGGACACTTCTGCCTGCCTGGTCGGTCATTTCTAGCCGCTATTTAGTTTATTCCTCAATTCTTATTACCTAAATGATTTATATCACACTCATACTAATTTAAAATTTCGCTATAACAAAACGATCCTTATACATTTTAAGAAAAAACATAAACTATATGTCTGTTGTTTTTTGATTGAGTTTGATTATTAAACTCAAAAGGCCAACCCTTGGGTTCACGCTTGTGCGCATGTCCGGGGCTTTACGTGTGTGTGTGTGTGTGTGTGTGTGTGTGTGTGTGATGTCTTTTCTTTAAAATTTAAAAGTCGATTTCTGTCTGTTTTTTCGCGATAAGTTAGTGAACGACTGAGTGTGTTATGGTGGCTTAGATATATACATCTCGATCACCAACCTAAAGTTAAACTCTAAAGCCCCTGACCACCGGTGTGTGTGTGTGTGTTTGTGCACATGAGCGTGAACAAACATTTACTGAAAAAACTTGTTTATTAAAATAACTGAGGCTTTACTCTGTTAAAGTTTTTAAAAATGTGTTTTTGATGCTTGTTACTAAATGCTGCTTACTATTTCCTATGAGGGGCTGCTCCCCCCAGAGACACCGGGGCAAGGTCGGTGACAATCTTCCTGACATATTCATGTTGCGAGAATATGTTTCCCCTGTCTGCAGGCCTGACTCGCCATGTATAATGGATATAGTCCGGTGTTCTGGCAAAACGTCCTACTTTATCAAAACATCCTACCGTAGTGCTAATCGATAGCCCTAACCCTAACCCCCCAAAACGCCCTAAAACCCTTACCTTAACCCTAACCCCTAAAACCTAACCATAACCCAAAGTAGTGGTGGCCGATTCGCGAACGAATCGTTCTTTTTAACTCGGTTTTTTTAGTGGATGGGTTGAACCGATTCGTAAGTCTGAACGAATCGGTTTTTAACATTTTTTTTAAAACCGATCTTTGGCTATTCAACATCCAAAAGCATACCCCGCAAGTTCGGATTTATTTTTCATGTTCCGTCTGCGCTTGTCCCCCTCACATTTCATAATTATTCGTTTGGAATAATTTAACATAAAATATTCGTTTTATGTCAGTGTGTGTCCCCCACCTCCCCGCCACATTCAAAATGCTTCTGACGCCCGGCCTGCTCTCAGTGGAAAGGCTGGACCAGCTATCATGCATGGAAGTGAGAGGAACTCCGCTGTACCTCGACATATCCAGCTCCTAGTAACTTTGCATTTTTATGCTATAGGGAATTATCAGATGGTTGACGGGGATCTTTTTGGAGTTCTGCAGAAATAGGCTTTTTCGCCCCGCCATACCTTACTGATTGGTTGACCTCAAGCTAACATGGAAGTTACACTTTAGTGCAAAAGCAGACGGGATTATTCTTGTACCCCAATTACATTTAATATATAAGTTAATACGTTTTTTTGCTCGTGTCTGCATTGGATAATTCAATCGCTAGCTAATATTCTTGTAACTAATATATTTATTTAGGACCATATTTATTTAGCCTATGATGCATCCTGAATTTGTTCACATTTCCTCGGCACTGTGTGCTTCCCGGGATAGGCTCCATATGAGCCTCCACTCAATAGTTATGGCAAAGGTCGGTAGAGTTCACGCTTTAAAATTCGTACTTGATCGCCCTTTGAATTACGCGTTGCTGATGCACATTAAACTTCATGGCTGGCTGTAGTCGATATGCAAACATGATAAGCCTACATGGATATGAAGGGCCGCCCCCCTTTGTCCCCCAAATTCGCCTCTCTCCTTATAAAGTGGTTTCCGGTAGTTGTTCACTAAAAAGTCTTATTTCAAGCGATCCATTCTTGGTACTTTTCCTAAAGCGTAACACAACTTAAGTTGTGTTTGAACGTGGGATACGTGATCTGAAACTCATCTGCTTCTTATTGATACACGATAAGTACTGATTCATAGCAAACACGGACAGGACCGCTGCAGTTATGGATGATGGTAACGAAAGCCAAGCACTGAGGACAGTAAAGGTCACTGAACCAGGTAATGTAACATTTACCGTATAATCCTTTGCAATATTCCATTTTACTGAAATATTATTCAGTTATTAACGTGGGTTGTTACCGGGTTAGTTATTCATACTTGCAGAACTTCTTCAAGGTACCGCCTAATCGCGGATGTCTTCGCACATTTAATTGAATTTCACTAAAGTGGTCCACGCCCGTGTGTGTATGTGTGTGACTTTAATGTTGAAACAGATGCTAAAACATGGAATGATTTCATAACTAGAGAAACATGTTTTTTTAACAAACACTACCAAAGGTAGCTTATAGTTAAGCTTACTTCAGTGAGCAAGGAACGATTTAGGCTACAGTGTGTAAGAGTAGTCGTAAACGATAATTTGTCTCATTCTTACATGACAGAATAAGTAAACAGAAAATATAAAATGACTGAAACAGCGTCATTAACGTCAGCTACAGTAGAGGTGCAGAAAATGTGTCATGACTGGAGTATTCCAAACTTTGGAAGACCGCGTGCGAAGCTTTTTCGCCCCGTGTTTCTCCAGAGGCTCCGGAGCTATTCTGGTCATGCAGTCATGTTGCCTCGTGCGCGGGGGGCGGGGCGGACGGTTAATGTCCTTTTTGCAGGGTGGTAGGAGATGTCTCATTAATATTTATGAAAGAACTGCTACATGATTGGTCAGTGCATGCCTTACAAAATAGTGTGGCACTAGCTGCTGGCACCAGCGATATTAGACAAAACTATATCGGAATTCAGTCTATAATTGACATAGTTTTAACGGTGCCAGCAGTGAAACAACTAGCCAGCTTATTAGCGGAATAACTTTGTATTGTAAATGAAAACCATGCAGCAGGTCCAATAAATAAAATATCGTAGCTCTCCAGTGGTGATCGAAGAGATCATCAGGTGGACAGTAAAGTTCAGTTATTAGCAGACTGTTTTATTGCGCGATTCCTAAAAGGACAGCGTTAACTTGCTCCCGAGGGGATAAAGTACTTTTCCTTACAGTACGTTTAGCTTATCACTTAGTGCGTTGCAGTTACAAAACATTTACATAGTAAAATTCCACATCGACGCATTTTTATAATCGACATCGTCGATTACGTCGAATAATCATCCCAGCCCTAATATACATATATATACAGTGGTACCTCGGTTCTCGAACTCACTTGAACTCGAATTTCTTGAAAGTCGAACAAACCAGTTTGACCTAGAACTCGATCTGAATATCAGAAGTCGAACCATGAACGCCGACCTAATATAAATTGTACGCGCCAGGAAATGAGTCATACTACAATACAATTCTTACTTGAATGCCTTCTTCACAGACTGAACGATTAACCACATAAAGCAGCGCAACATTACAGTAACTAACAATAAATAAACCACTAACTTACGTGTACTATTAGAGCATTTATGTCATTTATTTAAACTTTATTTTACCAGGTAAATTAACTGAAAACCAGTTCTCACTGCTTTACGTGATATTCGGGAGTAATAGCAGATTACGCATCGGAACTGCCTGGGATACAAACCTCATGCGTGTAACTAAACTCTTCAGCCAATAAGGGCAAAGGTGTGTCGTCACGGAGGCGGTTCCAGTTTGTGCAGCCAGGTGAGAGGTCGCAATGCATCTAACCGTAATGCATTGCGTCAGGATCAGAATGCGTTGCTTTAAGCCAGCTGTAAGCAAGTCGAAGGCACCCTGTCACTACCGAAAATGTTACACCTACCGAAAATGTAACTTCCGCTACTACGCATGCGCACGCTAGCGACTTCTGGAAGGAGGCGTTCTATTTTTACGGCATCGCGTCACATTTCATCGTCTGTTGATTTTTGATAAGAATGTCGACAGCGAGAAGAAAGACAAGATTTAACCGGATAATGATGGAGTCCTTCGACTTTAAAAGATTTTATTCCGCATAGGCCTTTAATGCCCAACGTGCTTCAGAAGGAGCAACGTAAAATACAGGGTATGGCCATCAATTTTACAGTCAAAGGTGACATTACTTTAATGTTACCATTATGTACTACTCCCAGTTCGATGTGCTGTGAAGTTACTTAAACTAAGTCTGCTTTTTTTCTCCTTAGTCATTTCATTTCTTAATTGTATCAGTGTAATTACCACACACTCGTGTCAGTTATGGCAGTGTCTTGTGGTGCTAAATAAAGCTAATTATATTTGTTTCTGACAGACGACGGATTGTTTTTTCTTGGGCCAAACCGCACAACATAAACATTGTTTATGTTGTGCAAATAAAAGTTCTTAACTATTATTTTGGTGTGACTTTTTTTTTTTAGAAAATGCTGTACATATATCACAGCCCCTTGATAAGCAATATGGGTACACAAGATTGATATACACCCCAATTTTATTACGTTTTCTAAAGAAAAGGCATCTATTCAGCAATACCCTTGGGAAAAACCTTATGTAAGATTACTGTCAGGCACTACAAACAACGCGCACACAGATGCAAATATTACAATCGGCAAAGCAATATGGTTTAAATACCACACTAAAGTGACGGCTGAACTACAAATATAAACATCAATGACCCATTTCACAGTACGTGACCAATGAATGATGATACACGATGTCCAAGCCCTGAATCACGCAATCACGGTCTGCCGCAAAATGTGAATACATGCGCAGTATCGGGCCTGTGGAAGTGTACATTACGCATGCGTAATAAAGAAGTGCCAGAAAATGTGGTTTCGTGGACGCATGCGTGATGAATGTGCGCATGCGTAGTAGCGGAAGTTACATTTTCGGTAGGTGTAACATTTTCGGTAGTGACACACCCAATGACCCAAAGATCTTTATCGTTTTGGAAGCCATTAAGAAGAAAATGCTCTTGTTTTATCCTGTTCATTTTGTGTTTAAATGCTTAAAAAATTAAAAAATAAAAACATATTTAGGTGTAATTTTGGGGGGGCAGGAACCAATTAATTGGTTTTCCATTATTTCTTATGGGAAAAATTCGATCAGAACTCGAACTTTTTAGGATTCGAACCGGAGTCCGGAACGGATTAAGTTCGAGAACCGAGGTACCACTATATATATATATATATATATATATTAGGGCTGGGACGATTATATATATATATATGTATATATATATATATATATACGTGTGTGTTATTAAATGTATTTGCAATGTAATAAAATTATTCTTTAAGATTAATTTTGCTATTTATGTACTTTAGTCATGCACAGACAGACAGGTTCTTCACGAAGTTACATTGGCTGTATAAAGACAAAGATTAGTTTAAAAAAAACCATAACAATTATGTTTTGGTTAATTATCACAGTGCATTTGAACTATAAAAAAAGAAATACGTGAAACTTCTTATTTATAATAGCTAGTTCAGCACTGGGCCTGTGCTGTGGGCTGGTGTGTGCTGCTGGTATATATACTGTCTGTGATTGTGTCAGGTATCCTATACTGTCAGAAAAAAAGGACCAATTGGTGCCTTTGAGGGTGTACCCTTTAAGGTATAGAAATGGACTCAAACATTTTGTACCATTAATGTTGTTTGTTCTTTGGGGAACAAAACTTTACCAGTGATGAACCTTTTTTTCTGACAGTGTTGGAGTAACCCAGGTCTGCGAAGGAGCCCTGCGTAATGGGCACAGGGCTAACCCTGGCTCTCTGTTTTACAGTGTCGGAGAGCTCAGTCAACGGCGCCGGGTGCAGCATCCTAATGGTCATCTTCTCCGCCCTGCTGACTATAATCACCCTGCCTGTTTCTGTATGGATGTGCGTCAAGGTACAGAGAACCATAAGTGAAGTGAAAAGTTATTGTTGACACACCATAATGTACAGCAATGAAATGTGTCCTCTGCATCCCCTATGTGACATTGTGGCATAGCAGGGGGCAGCTAATTCAGCGCCTGGGGAGCAGTGCTTGGGGGCGGTACCTTGCTCAGCAATCTTTCAATTACAAGTGCGCACCCCTAATCATTAGGTCATCACTGCCCCCTCCCCATATCCTCCCCTTCCCACAATCACGCGTCAAATCCTGGGCAGATACCCAACCCAGTCTCCACAGTGCGCAATCCATCCACCCATAACAATGTCCATCCATCTTCCAATTACCCATCCTGGTCAGGGTCTCCTGGAGTTTATTCAAGGCAGCACAAGGCTGAAGGTTGGGGTACATCCTGGGTGGGATGCCAGTCCATCACAGGGCACAGATCTGCACAATCACACACTGCAAGCTGTTTACAAACACCACTATGTCTTTGGAAAGTGGGACGTTAACCTGCACACCATGGAGAGAACCTTCATTCATAAACATGCGCGCACGCACACACACACACGTTTGTATTCATATCTACATATAAAATTTCATTATGAGAACCCTAATCCCAGCTATGACGACCTTAACCCTTACCCAGCCCTAACCTTAACCATAAGTAACCAAACACAATACAAGACTGAGGGAGCCCAGCCCTGGAAGTGTGCACCACCATGCCACCTCTTATAAAAACATCCAGTCGAAATATAATGAAAATGCACCAACTACAGTGCAATCCGCTTATAGTGATCACGTCTGTCTGGTTGAAATTGATCATTATAAGCAGATGAACATTATAACCATTTTTTTCCCTTTTTCTTTATGTCTCAGGCAGATTACCATCTAAATGACATTTGTACATTTATTACATGAGAGTAAGGTAATAAAACGGACAGCGTTGCTATTCACAGAATTTTATTGACTCTTTCAAAATACAATACAGCTGTTTACAGCGCAGTACATATTAAATCACTGAACTATGTATAATTCAAATACGCTATAATACTGTAGCGCCAGCAGTATCTGCATGTCCCGGAATGCCTCACGAGCGCTTGCATATAGCCCTGTGTTTGTATTTGCTACAATGTTAGCATTAGCTATCATGCAAAATCTCACTTATGAATGAGCAGTTTATTCTGCTGGATGCTTGGCTCCTTACAGACTTGCTTTACACCAGGCAACAGAAGCAGTACACTAAAGTGCACTTTTGCTTGTTGGTTTTCCATCCGTGTGGAGAGTCTGTTTCATAGGAACCAAGCGCTTTCCTTGCGTTCCACAGATTGTGAACGAGTACGAGCGTGCCATCATCTTCCGTCTGGGCCGGCTCGTTGGTGGCGGACCCAGAGGACCAGGTCAGTAGAGTGCTCACCACCCTGCACACATGCCATATTATTTCCTCCCTGACAGGAAACAGACAAGCTGTGGACAGGAAGTGAGGGGCCATTCCTGACTGCGCCGAGGCACAGTAGTGTCAGATTACTGTTAGTTATGGGGTGGGGTGGGGTGTGGGGGAGGGGGGGCATTAGCCGCTCTGGTCAATCCTTACTTTATCTTACAGTTGGGGTCTGGGTTTCAGTTACCACTGTTGTGCAGTGAGTCCAAGAAAAAGCACATGGGTCATCTAGTGAGCTCAGCCTGTCATTGCTCAGTAACGACTCTTTGCTTTCATCAGAGCTAATCGTCAGCTTTTTGACGCACACCTAATATGCGTATTTACAGAGTGTGATATTAAAGGTGTTTTCCACTCAATGAAAAAAAAAACAGTTTGATTTACTTGATTGTCTTGCATCAAAGTGGCTTTTTGTGGACAGCGATGTAGTTCTGGAATCAGTGACGATCATGTGCTCATGAAAGGAGGGCGGGGCCAATCCCAGGATAGCCAGTTAAAGAAAAGTGGGTGTGGTCTTCCTAGCACATGTGGCATAATAGCCGGTTTTATTTGTGCATTCATAATTAAATACAGATTGTCATAGCTGGAGTGCTTGTATGTACTTGCTCTAAATATACTGATTTATCAAAAAATGCATTTTTAAATTGAATAAATTGTGGAAAAAAAACATCCAACAATAACATGGGACTTGATGCTGGCTTCCAATAAGGGTCTAATGTTATGAAGGAAACCAACAGTATGCTCAACTCATCCATGTGTTGATATCCATACCTTTACATCACACCATCAAACATTCCATAGTCCAAAATGGCAACATCTGTAAATCCCAGGAGTATTACAATATATTGTCTGTCTTGTTAGGAAGTGGCTGGTGGAAGCTGTGTGTGCAGCTGGGAGGGGTCTTCATTGAATAGACCATTGTTTTGTCAATGGTAAGGAAGCTAGGCATTTGGAGAGGGTGGTGATTGTGGAAAACATCATTCAATAGATGACAATTCACCAGATAAGAACATAGAGGAGGTCAGTGTTTTTGAGACTAGATATATCTGTGGAGGATTCTGGAATTTAATATGGTTTAAATAACTTTAAATATTTAAGGGAGAAGCTGGGAATTTTACAGGAATTTCTCAGAAAATACTTTCCTAAGGTGCATGAACTGTTCCGCAAAATCAACAGGTTAAGCACAGAAATTACTGAGAACAGGGCCTGTAGAGAACTGTCTACTGGCCCAATGGTGGAATCCAATTGGACAGCCCAAGGGTTGGAATGCGTGTAGGTCCTTTCGAGCGCTCCTACAAAGTTACTTACCCTTTTAGGTAAAACCACATTATATCTGACTCCAGTTTAATTAAAGACCTTTTATGATGTTTTAGTCATGACATTTCTGTTATTCAGATTACTCCTGGGCTGTGCCTTCTATTGCTGAACTCATATCTCCTGACCAAATATTGTAATTGATTATTTTAGGGACTGTTTTTATCTTCTGTGTGTGTCCTGGAGAACTGCTGACCTTATCAATTCTCAGACTCTCAGCCAATCGAATTGCTTTAGGAGGAATGTATGAATTCCTTTGTTCCACTATGTGATAAGATCCTCCACTTTGGTGGGTACATTCTATATTTCTCTAATGTAAGAACATACTGATTTAAGGTTGAGAGTATTGTGCCCGTCTTACTGTGACCATTAAACGAGACCAAACATGGGTGTATGTGTCCCTAATGTTAGTTTGAGGTAATACCTCTTGTGTTGGTGTGAGTTAGCAAGTGTAGGATGCATCTGTGTCTTGAGGCAGTCGGGCCTTGTCACTGGAATTTGGCTTCAGGGTTTGGCCCAGTGGGGGTGAGGCGTCCCTTTTGATGTGGTGATGTGGTGATTTGGGTCCAGTCTTCTCGGAGCCGGTGGACCTTTGCCTTAGGACACTGGGTGGAACACTGCAGGCCTGTCAGAGGTCAGACCGGCCGGGCCTGCAAAGCCTGTGGCCTTACAGGCCGGACCAGGGTGTTCTGGCACCCTTGGCAAGATTATGTTGAGTGCACCTCCGCAGTACCACCCTTCAAGGCAGCAGGAAGCAAATTTTCAGTAAATTCATATTAAAAACATTTAAGTAGTGAATGGTATCTGACTGCTAACTAGTTAGCTAGCATTTGTTTCACAAGAAAAATAATGAAATATTAAAACTCTGTAAATGACTAGTGTCACGGACTGAAACCACAGGTATTTCCTCTCTTCATATTACTGGGAAGGTTAACCCAGATCCATGTGAAATAATAGCCAGCTTTATTTGTTCATTTATAATTATAGATTGTAATAATTACAGCAATTGCATACGATTACTTTACATGTAAGAAAAGCACTTTTGTGAATGCATTAAAAATCTGACCATACAAATACTGTTACACAATAAATACCATAATAAGGGACTAGTTCAACTCAAGCAAATGGAACGAATAGTATTTGAAGGTAACCTGTGTCTACTGCTCTACAATATCTGTGGATCCCCAGATCATATGTATATAAGCAGAGGGAAATGACTTATTTTAAAAAGTAGGCTGGATAATCTTTGGTTTCCTGTACAGAGAAATGAATGGCCTGCTACATTTGCAGATATGTTATATCAGAGAGAGTCAAATCTTGTTGGGAAATGACTGGGCGGAGGTAAGTTAAAGGAAGGATTTTCATCGCGAGCATGAGGAAACTATTTTTTCTTTCAATTCAATTCAATTCAATCTGGAGAGGGGCCTTGTTTCATCATCGTACTTCCTGGGGTGTCCACACATTGTGGCCCACGCTTGTTTTTACAGGCTTGGTGTTTTTAGACTGGGGATGCAGCAGGATGGAGTCGGCATGGTCTGCGATTCATAGAGACTTATCTGTGACAGGCCACCTCAGACACACCCAGCTCAGCCCCTATGATGCTGTGTACCTGCACTGCCTGCAGAGGGCATGGCACATAACAGTATTTCTCATCATGAAATTGGGGTTTTGTGGACATTACTGAGCATATGTATTGAGTTTCAGGTAGACACGTCGCCTCTCTTTTCAGTGATCTCAGCGGAGGTCCAGTCTAAAACAGTCACTGTTATAATGAGTTTTTTTAACTCAGGTGTTAAATCTTAACTTTTAATAAAATGTTGGCCTTAGGCTACCTTCACATTACAAGTCTCTTTGTTCAATTTTGATTTTTTTGCTAAGACCAGATTTACCCATCTTGATGGTCCACACTCATAATTACAAGTGACCTGTATCTAACTATATTGTGAGTGCATCTGTCCTTTGAAACGGCACACGTGCACATTAATACGTTTCTGCCTGAGTCATCTGCATCACCACCAACTGAAAACACTCAATGCAAAGCATTAATGCAAAGCAAAAAAACCACACAAATTCCAAAAAAATACATTTGAGCCACTTCAGCTTGATAATGTGAATGGAGCCTTAGTGTGTTGCTCAGGACCACAGGAATGAAGGTCTGCACCCTCATATTGTGAGCGAGTCCTTTATCAGTAGATCTTGCTGCCTCCTGTTTGAGTAAGAGGTGGTGAGATCCTGTTATGCGCAGGGGAAAGTAGGGCTGAGCTGTGTGGTAGCATTCTATCATTGCCTTTTTTTGTTTAGCATGAAGCAATAGTATCCTGCCTGTTAAATGAACGACTCAATAAAATGTGTGTTTGCTTGTATGCATATCCTCAGGTCTGTATTTCATCCTGCCCTGCATTGATAACTTCATCAGAGTGGACCTACGCACTGTCAGCTTCGACATCCCTCCTCAGGAGGTACGGCTCGCCACACTCAGCAGATTCCCATCAGCCTCTGGGGCCCCTCTGTGACATTATAGGTAGCTTCCCCCCCCCAAACTCAGTCACGGTTCCTGGACAGCTGGCAGCGGTAAAGTGACATAAACTGACACGCTTACAAACACTTGACAGCAAGGCCCACAGACAACTTCATCAAACGCTGAACATCATGGTGTGATTTTTCACCTTCATGGCTTATCAAAGTGATGAATAACCAAACTGAAGAAACATTTCAATTAATTTTCACCGTGGGTGTCTAGCCCTGGACCTTCAGAGACTTTGACCGTGTGGATTTTCAGTCCAATTCATATCAGCCTTTATCAAAATTCAGTTATTTAATAATATACATTAGATTGGATTTGAATGGTGAATCACCTCACCTGGAGTTTCACTAAGTGCCGCTAATTAAAATGGGTATCCTGAAATCCACAGGACTGCGGCTCTTGAGACTTAGACCTGGGCATGCCGATGCATAAGACCTGGGTTGTCTGGCCATTACGAGGCACATAGATTAACCACTTTGGGTAGATGCATCCCATTGTTTTTCAAGGGTAACGGTCACGTTCTTCACAGCGGACATCCATTGCAAAACTATTATAATGACCTTTTCAAAACCCAGTTTTTAAACATATCGACTTTTACAAAGGGATTAATTTTGATACAATTATCTGCTTAAACCCAAGTGTGCCATGTTGAACTCAGACCATGTCCCTTGGTCTAATTCCTTATTTGGGAAGCTTCCTTCGGGCTGAGAGTTGGCCAGCCCTGATTAAAGCCTTTGAGGTTATGATGCAATGATGCAGCTGCCCAAGCTCACCGTGATGACCGTGTGTTCCTCCTGGTGTGACCTTCGACCTCTGTTCTCTCACTCGCTAAGCAATTCCACCCTGTGCCCCCCTCCAACCACCAGGTGTTGACGAAGGACTCGGTGACGGTGAGCGTAGACGGGGTGGTGTACTACCGGGTCAAGAACCCCTCCCAGGCAGTGGCTCAAGTCTCCAACTTTAATGCTGCCACCCGCTTGCTGGCTCAGACCACCCTGCGCAATGTCCTGGGCACCAAGAACCTGGCAGAGATTCTGTCTGACCGGGAGGAGATCACTCACAGCATGCAGGTATAGAGCATGGGCATCAGAAGGTAGATTCAGAACTTCCTGTAGAGCATTTCATGGTTGTAGTTGTTTTCCTGACAATTATATCTTGACTTCCAAAATACTCTAAGGTCACGAAGGATCAAAAGCAACAGGCTAACCAATCCATCACTGAAATACACCTCACTGTTAGCTGAGTGAGGGATGCTGAGAGCTCTGTGCAAAGGGGACTTGGTGTCAGTGGTAATGGGACACACTGCCCCATTCTCTGCCTTGCCGTAGTCTGCCCTGGATGAAGCCACAGACGCCTGGGGCATCAAGGTAGAGCGGGTGGACATCAAGAAAGTCGAGCTGCCCCTGCAGATGCAGAGAGCCATGGCAGCAGAGGCGGAGGCAACGCGGGAGGCACGGGCCAAGGTGGGGTCCTTCCCCCCTCCCATTCTCTACACACAGTGTTTGTGGTTTTTACTCCACTTTACTGAAGCCATTCATTGGATTGCAAGGAAACATGCCTGGTGTTTATAGACAAAAATCAGGTCCCAACAAGGGCATAGAACCCGGAGGTGCCTGTAATTTGATTTCTTTTGTCCCCTCTTTAAAGAGACCTTTGTCTTTATTTTATTAAGCCCCCCCATAGGCATTACTCTTGAGGGGGCAGGTAGGACACATCCCACCCATTATTCAAAACAGTGGCCTATGTCCCACCCAATATCCAATTTCCAAGATTTTGCTTTTAAAATATGAATAAATTTGTCAGGACAATTCAGTTAACATCTAACCTACTGATCGAGGGGATAAAAACTTAGCCGACGATTCCAGCTGTGATGATTTCAGTTTTGAATAATGACAAAGGGCGGATTTGACTCTGTCACTTAATGGATCTGTCCCTGTCCCTCCCTCCCAGTATTGAAAACACGGTTAATCCTTTGGTGCCCCCAGAATAAGGCTTAAAGGCATGACCCCCGTTCTGATGTCTCCTTAAATAGTCAGTGGTTTCCTATGGCTTACATATACAGGATATACCATTATCACACACCCTGTGTGACTTTGTAGTTCGGAATTACCGAAAAACACTTCTGCATATTCTGAGGCTCAGTACGCTAATTCCCCCGTCCCTCCCCATGTCTTTGCCCGTGTATCCCTTCCCGCTACGCTCTGCAGGTGATCGCGGCGGAGGGGGAGATGAACGCCTCCCGGGCTCTGAAGGAGGCCTCCCTGGTCATCGCGGAGTCGCCCTCGGCGCTACAGCTACGTTACCTGCAGACGCTGAACACCATCGCCGCCGAGAATAACTCCACCATCATCTTCCCCCTGCCCCTCGAACTGATGCAGGGTTTTATTAAAAGTTAGGGCGGGAGCTTGTTTGTAAGGGTGGGGGTGGGGGTCCTTTCAAACTTCATGATTGCGAGGGTAGTCTTTATAAATGCCTGTTGGAATATTTGAAAATGTGAATAGGATCTTAATTTTCTATTACCTTGACTTTGCTCCTGATAACCGTTTCAGTCTCCCGCGATTTATTTAAATCCCTCACATGTGTCACAATTCTAGATCTTTAGGACTATTATATTAAGAGTTTTTCCATAGATATTATTCATTGCTATTAATAACTAATTTTTTTGCATTTTCATTTATATTTGCTTTTATGCAGTACATGTCCTGTGAAATGGCACTGTACGTCATGGGCGCTTTAATTTATGAAATATCATTTCATATCTATAATTATCTTTCAGTCTTTAAGAAGTGGCATTTATTTAAATCCCTCACATGTGTCACAATTCTAGATCTTTAGGACTATTATATTAAGAGTTTTTCCATAGATATTATTCATTGCTATTAATAACTAATCTTTTTGCATTTTCATTTATATTTGCTTTTATGCAGTACATGTCCTGTGAAATGGCACTGTACGTCATGGGCGCTTTAATTTATGAAATATCATTTCATATCTATAATTATCTTTCAGTCTTTAAGAAGTGGCATTTTCCAAAATTGACCGTAGCTTACTGTATATTTAGCCTAAATATATTATTCAAAAATTAGCTTTTTGTAGCAGTCTATGTATTCGTTGTTTTATTTTACATTCACTTTTAAATCTTTTTGTAATGTTTTTTTAATCGAATTGGCTTTGGCTAAAAATGGAATGTCCAATAAATTTGAAATAATGAAAAGGAAGACAAATATGTGACTACAATATGGTGCTTAGAACCTTTATTTGTAATGTCCAAAAATGGTGAAAACTTTTATGCAAACGAGCTGATATCGTCCCGCAAAGACGTATAATTGCCTGAAAATGAGAAGATGGATCATTCAGGAGTCCCGTTAAGTCGCTCTGTACGTCTACATGAAAATGACAAAATAAAGCTCGGATCGGTCTTTTGACATCATTGTCCTTTTCCTTGCCTGATAATCTGGTTATTTTTCTCATAAATAAAAGTGCTGGGTTTTTGCCTCTGACTTTGAATTTACAGTTAAACGCATTAATTTCCCCTTCATCTATTGATGTGATAATTGTTCACTGTGTTTTAATTAGGATGCCAAAACTAATTTATCCACCTCAGCGGACTGACCAGGTGTCACGTTGTAGCCCGTCCACACTCTGAATTGCATACGTTTTCTCGCCCACCAGCTGTCGAGAATCGGCGGGTAACGATCGTGATTTAAAAGGTGCGTTTGGTGCCGATTTAATGGGGTAAGAAGCACCATCATGACACTGCTGTCATGAATACAGACAATATATAGCCCACTTTACAGCCCTCTGAGCAATTTCATTATAACGGAAACTAGGTTTAAACGCAAAGACGAGGTTCACATCCTAACCTTTAGCTGTTTACTGATAGTGAGCGTTTATTCTCTTGAAATTCAGAGCGAAAAATACAAAAGCGTTACAGGAAGCCATGCAGGAGCTATTGCCTTTGTGTGTTACCTAAGGGAGATGTATGCACTTGACACACGACTCAGATGAGTTGGGGTTCCATATTTAAACCTAAATGTTGTTAATAACTGACATTGACAGAATAGAAAAATGTCACTTGTATTCGTAAAAATAGCACAAAAATAACTAATCCTTGGTTATACTATCGGGCTGCACGATTGTAAACATGTTCGTTCAGGGTTGCCAACTTTGGGCAGCTGGCTGGAGTGAAATTTTCAATTTGAGACTAGTCTGTACACACATGCACACGCATTTACACGTATGTAAGAGTTTTACTACCTTGTAAATAGTCTGCAAGGTTTGCAAACTACCCCAATGTTTTTGATGTAGCTATTTTAGGTTTGTGATGGAGTAATAGAGATTTGCCGTAAGATTTCTTGCATGAGCCTGAGAGCGTGTCATGCCAGATGCATGAGAGTTGGCAACCCTGTCAGTCTAGCGTTAAGTTCAAAATTCCTGATAGCACAAGGCTAACCGAAGTGAATCGCCTACTTTGAGGAAGTGAGTTTTTGCATCAGAGGAGGGCTCTATGGAAGACGTTGGCTGGAAGAGGAATGGCCAGACAAAGGCCGACGTCTGTCTTTGGTCAATGTCACCCTCACATCTTTGCTTCCTCCTCGGGGAGGGTGTCGGCACTTGCTCATGGCTGCAACCACAGCTGCTTGGTGTCCATTTTTTATTGTGAACTGGTTGCTTGCTAATGGGGATTTTTTTAACAGACTGGAATGGAGTGATTTGCCATGTTGTGCACTTCTTGTTGATAGGCTTGTCGCAGCAGAGACCAGGCAGCAGGCGGACAGGATTTGAGGCGAGGGAGAGGGAGGAAACGCCGTGGGAACACTGCCCTGAGTTCAAATCTCTAGCTCAGCCATGGCACGATCCAGAGGGTCGGTGGTCCAGTAATCATAATCCCAGCCGAGGAACCAGCCGGTGAATGTAGGCGGTTCGGACCCTTGCTTGATCTTCACCACTGGCGTCCGACGATCCCGGTTTGCGGGGTCCGTCTCGATGTAACGGACAGCTGCGGGTTAGAGGCACAGAGGACAGCATAATGCATTTATGGTAATAGATATCTTCCAGTTTGCATCTGGGTGTAGAAGATATAATCCAGATTACATTGCCATATGTCACAAGAGAATGTCAAAATGGATACTTTGACAATCCTCCAAAAAGGGTTGGTCACATAGCTGTTGAAAGTTTATGAATTTTACATTTTTCTAGCTGTTGCTCTCATCCAATGTTAGTCTACGTCCTTGTCTACTCATTAGTTGCTCTTTATGGCTCACCTGAAGTCATTGCTTCAGTCTTCTCTTCCTCCTGGGCTTCATTTCCGATCCAGACAAAGACCTTAAAGTTGAAACATCACTCTGAGCTTAATCCCATTTGCAGCATATTTAGTGGAAACCACTGGATCTATTCTGCGATCTTCTGCGTAGAAGTACATAGCCATTCTATTGCTTACCTGCTCCCAGGTGTCCAAGATCATGACGTCGTCGGTGGCCAAGTCGTCTTGGGTCAACTCTCCCGGTACCTCCTCAATCTAAAGGACCAGAGGTGCATGACATTGTTTTGGGTCTTTTGGTCCTATGCACAACTCAACCTCAGTTCTTACTATGTGAACACAGCACTGCAGAGTGCCTGGAGGAGCTTGGATAAAAGGCAGCAGATCAAACTGGAAATATCCATTCTTGGGGTCTGGGAGAGCATCTCAAACAGCACAGAGTGCAAGGCAGGGGTCAGACCCTGGACAGGATGCCCGTCCATCACAAGGAACCCATGCTATAGACAACTTAGAGACATCAGCAAGCCTTACTCTATGTCTTTGGAGTATGTGGGGGAAATGGAATGAACATGCAAACTCCACACACACATACAGAGCAGAGGGAGGATTTACACCCCAAATGTAGGTGGTGGGTGGCTACAGTGCTTTCCACTGAGCCACCATTCCACCACCAGAAATGTTCAATTCCACAAATATCTGCAATCTGTGAAATTCGTTTGATAGGTCTCACCATCGCTGACAGTGAAGTCTTTGTTATACCTATTTTTTAAATTCATAATGGATAGCAGTTTGTCGTCTACTGCAGAAATGTTACCACTGCGTTGTGCTCAAAAGTAGGGATATTATTTTTTTTTTTGTAAACTGAAGTAGACAGTGCCCCCTTGTGGCTGCTTCACTATAATGCATTTACAATATTGAGGGAAGGTATGCTTAACTTACAATGAAGCGTCCAGTTTTGTTGGAGCAGGCAAACAGTCTGGGTGGGTGGGTGTCCATCTTGTCCTTTAGCCTGGTGGAGGTGCGGTACTCCGCCTTGCCTCCGAGGGCTCCCCAGAAGTCGTCTGTTGGCATAGAGACACGGAGGAAGTGGTGAGCAGCATAGAAACCTGCTCCAAACAGTTCACTCCTCAGAAACAGACCTAGACCACAGACATTGCTTATCCATTGCTCATCATCATTGTGTCGTTTTGTTTCCCCGTTTGTGGCATGTACTGCCTGTAGGGTAACTTGATAATGATGGTGAAAATCAGACATTACAACACAAGCATTCACTACGTGTTGTACTTTGTTTAACGATGTATGTGACAATTAAAGAATCTTGAATCTTGGAAAAAAAAACAAGCAAAACAAGAGACATACAAGCATGAACTTCATAGCAAGTGACATGTGACCCTTTTAGGATATCCACATCTCCATAGCCTCAGAGTTCTTATTTCAAAATCCTGACTGCAGTTTACTTTAAATCACCGAATTCAGAACAATGCTGGCACTGAAGAGTCTTGGTAACCATCCTTAAGCAATAACCCAAGAACTGCTCAATTTACCAAATCCTCAACAATGCAAGTGTGTCACGCTTGATATTATATTTCTGAAATTCTCAGCTGTCCGATCAGGATAAGTTTGTAAGCCATTACTCATCCAACTAGGCCTCTTCCCCTCTTACCCGCTTCCCCACCCTCTGCCAGCTTGGAAGGCGACACGCCCAGGATGGCACACAGCTGCTGGGCCCCCTTCCTCTCTGCGTCGCTGGCGCCCTGCCCCAGCCACAGGAAGGAAGCCGTGGGGGTGACCAGGATGAAGGCGTCGTTGGAGTTAAGGTTAGAGGCCACCGCATCAACCTTAGAGAGAGAAAAACGGAGATCAAAAGCTGCAAGAAGCAGAGTGATGGTAAAATGAGGTCTTCTTGTTTCTTTGTTGTCATGGCAGCAATGCAACTTCACCACACCTTCCCAGTATCCCACGTATTATACAGATTGGATCCTGGCCACAAGTCCCGTCCCTTAACCACTGCAGCAATTTCCCACACGCTGATCCGGACTCACCTCCACGGCACGTGTGCACCCGGCTGTGTTGGACCGTACTTGAAACAGCCGCGTTTTGCCGGGTGCAGTCTGACCCCCCTCCCTGGAGGTGCCCCCCTTGTAGACCACCATAGGCTTCCCCCCGAAGAGGCTCATGAGGTGAGAAGGTTCCTTGCCTTGGACCACTCGCACCTTGAAACACACAAATTAGACCAAATCAGCCCAACATACATAAAACATACATACTTGTTTTTCTGTTTATATTTGTAGTAAATAGTGATACAAATGCTTTTAAAGTTCTTC